ATTGACTATTTTCCAATTCCCCATAATACACTCTGTCTGCGCCCCAAATTTTGCATAACTTATTGTCTTAAAATGCTCTTGGGAAAATGCAATACTCCCAAGAGCATTTAAAAACAATGGTTTATGCAAAATTTGGGGGGCAAACAGAGTGTATTATGGGGAATTGGAAAATAGAGAATAAGTTTTCTAATGATCCGTCCCTAAGCATGTATTATTAAGTGTGACGTCACGTTACCATGGTAGCCAAATTTCTTTAAGCAACGGCGACGGCGACAGTGACGAGAACGGCAAAAAAACCTCGATAGGTTTAGATTAGCAAAACAACACCTGCACGTGCATCACGCTTTTTTTGTACATTTCTTAGCTCATTTCGTTGCACGACTGCGACATGAAACTTCTCATTTCTCGGGACCGCTTTACGGAGTAGGTGAACGCAGCACAAGAAAGTTTCATTTTCTTTTTCTAAACTAGATACTTTTTCTAGGTACGGTCCTGTCGGATTAAATCCAGAACATTTCGCCAACATTTGACAAATTAAATAAAATTGAATAAGATCGATGAAGTTTGAAACGGTGCGAATTTACTTTTTAAGTGAATTTTCGGTTTGTTGTCATCCAAAAATGTCGCTACCATTATAGCAACATGACGTAACGACTTCTCCTCTCTATTTTCATATTACATTCCTATCTTCCCATAACGGCCACCCCTCCATAACGGCGACTTTCTCTGTCCCCAAGGCGGCCATTATGGAAAGGTTCGACTGTACTTAGCCTCGTTCGGGAGAAAATTTCATTGTAAAATTGCGTTTTAGACTGATTCAGTTGATTGGTTCGATGCGCATGCGACCTAAGTTCGACGTCTGATCCAAGAGACCATCTTACTTAATTTAGGTGTCAGTAAAACGCTGGGTCGGGGTTGGGGTCTCTCTTTTTTTTAAAAGAATTCTGTTTTAGGGTTAGGGTTAGGGTTGACACTAACCCTAATACAGACCCCAACCCCGACCCTGCTTCTTACTGACACCCACTTACACAGGACGAAAAAACGGATTTACCGAACGTCAAAGGTGAAGTCAAACGGGCGATAAAGGCCACCTTTGCACACCTTTGTACAACTTTGACGCGCGACAAATGTACGGGCAACGACGGCAAAGAAATGTACAAAAAAAGCGTGATGCACGTGCAAAGTTGTTGTTTTGCTAATCAAACCTATTGCTTTTTTGCCGTTCTCGTTGCCGTCCGCGTCGTCGTTGCTTAAGCTCCCTAATTCAACGGCCAAACGTACTGTGGTGCAAGCAGCCAGCCTCTAAGCGAAATGTTTTAAAAATTATTCAATCTCTACATGCTAGTCACATTGGGCCTGTCATTACTATTCCGAGAGAAAAATGTTTAGAGAATTAGAGTTGACCAAATGAAATAATACTGACTATATTTATGTTTAGCGAAATCAAAAGTAGGGCTGTTTATATGACTTTCTTAAGACACAAACTCATGGTAAATGGTTCTTTCATTGAATGTAGGCCGTAAGGCTTGCAAATGACAAGCATGAAACGTTTTCCGTTAGATGAGCCTTTCCTTGAGTTGTTGATGTAAACGGCCCAATTAGTAAACATTGTAAAAAGCTTGTAAGTGCTTTTACACATACACAAGTGAGATTTGACACAATTTATTGGAGATTTTTTTGTAGTACTTGGAGGATTATGTTATATTACAGTGTTTGTAGTAATAAAATTCATCCAAGCTCTTTTCGTGAATGGATTTGATTTTTTTGTTTGATTTGATGGCTGTAAATAACCTGAACTTCACAAGAGCCCAACCTAATGCTAATTAGCAAAATCTCTAGTTAAAACGGATCTACTGCAACCATTATGATCTTTGAAAACTTGTTAGCCTGACAGTTTTTCAAAGTTTGTTTTCGATTGTAACGTTTGAGACAGATTTGTTTGACACGTGGCTGTCACAAGTAATTATTTATTTGTTAACTGCAAGTTTCATTAATCGCTGCAATCGTATTTTGATTGTGTTCCATGGTGTATTTTGATCGTATCACATTTATTCTTCAGCAGTAAGCATTTAATTGTCTACGATACTTAAAGCGAAGGTTGCTAGCCTTGTTCGTTTGATCATGCATGTTCTCATTAAGATTCAAAAAATTATTTGAGTTTTTTTTTTTCTATTTTATCTCCATACTCAGTTGACTGGATTACCATTATGGCATATAGTAAGCATGAACTTGGCACAATAAGGGACGGACCATTAGCAAAGTTATGGGGGGCGGGGGGGAGGGGAATTTTCGAGCCGCTGGAATTTTTTTTCGTTATTAAATTCCTTGTATGAATTTTTTTTGGGCCTTAGCTTGAATATTTTTTTGGGATATTTGGCATACATGAATTTTTTTTCTTTTAATTTTCCCTTGCCCGAATATTTTTGGGGTATTTACCCTCACCCCCCCCGCCCCCCCCCTCGCCTACTCCTCCCCCCCCCACACCACCCATCCCCCTCCCCTCCACCCCCCCCACCNTCATATTGTTACCCACACATTTCAATCATCCAAACTTTGTTTTGCAGTGTGATTATGAGAGTGTTCCAACAACAGTATTCACACCACTGGAGTATGGCTGCATAGGGCTGGCAGAGGAAGATGCTATTGCAAAGTATGGGGAGAACAATATTGAGGTGTATCACACTAACTATACACCTCTAGAGTATACTGTGGCTAAACGAGATGCATCTGAGTGTTATGTCAAGCTGGTTTGCAACAAGAGCGAGAACGTAAGTGCTGTTACTCTGCAGTGATCCTTTCTTTTTCGGTTAAAGTGTATACAACACAAAATCTTTTCAAACTGATTGTGGTTCATAGATAAGTTTAGTCAACAATAATTGTGAACTTTAAAAATGTGTCCCCCAAAAAATTTCTTGAACTTTTACCATCCAAAATGTGCTTTCTCCCTTGAAGAAATGTCTCAAAGACTGCAAACGAGTAAAGGATGAAAGAGAGGCTGGTGATGTCAGCTAGTGTACGATTAGTGCCTTGTAGAATTAAGCGATGTAACTGACTGTAATAAAAGGTGTCTCAAAATAAATGAAGATTCTAAAGATCAGTGCGAAGTTTTGACAAAGACAGTGCTTCGTATTTGCGGCCATCTTGTTAATTATTCTTCATTCTTGCAAATCATTCTACATCATAGTTGTCAGTTTGGCCGCGCGATATTGCGTACATTTTTAAGGGCAAATTTGGGTGTGTTAAAAGACCAAAAAATAGGTTTAACAAGATTATTGACAAGTTAAATTTTTTTTGCACTCATCAAGCATTGTCAACAATCACTAAATTAATAATTAAGAACATTTTGTGTTTTGCTTTTACTGTGAAATACTGATTCAATAGTGTTGAAACCCAGGACAGAGCTGCAAAGAATTTTTCTTCCTTGAAAGAACATAATTATGTCCAGCTAGGTTACCATTTTGGTTGGTCCAAAGAAAAATGTCATCACAGTCAATCAATCCAGCTATATGCATCTTTAGCCCTATGCATATTGGGGGGCCCTCCCCCAACTCTGGAGTTGAATAGCATTAAAATTTGTTCAATTCACCACCAAATGTAGTTACTTCTCTCAAACTTTATCTGGGCACATTTTTAAGTCATTGTGACGTGTTTGTCAACATTAAGATCACCTTGCAACCAAGTTTTGACAGACATGTTTTTTTTTTCAAAATTTGCATTTATGTTTCCTCTAATAGAACGTTTCTTTCCTAGTCAGATTTTCTGATTGAATTACACTCAGTTATAGACTGAGATAACTTCTCTTATGACAGGGACATGGGTTACTTCATCAAGTCACCCTGGTAACTTATCTGTTACTCTGTTTTAGGAACGTGTGGTTGGTTTTCATTTCCTTGGTCCAAATGCTGGAGAGGTGACTCAAGGTTATGCTGTGGCTATCAAGTTAGGAGCCAAAAAGAGCGACTTTGACAGAACTGTAGGAATCCACCCAACAGTGTCTGAGGTAATTAGTTATCCACATACAGATTTTCCAGACTAATATTCCAAACATTTTCTGTAAGAATTAGCTGGGAGAATTCGACAAATACTTTTCCTTTGATTATCATTTAGTTAATTGTTGTAACCTTTTCTGTTGATGATGTACTGATATTGTTCGGAAAAATTTAAATTGAAAGCAGAATGTAGAAATCGGGTTTATTTTTTCCATGCACCCTTAAAGTTATTTCCTTACTTGCAAGACCCTCTCTGTTGTGTTTCTGATCAGAAACAGTTGTGTTTCTGATCAGAAACACGACCTTAAAAAAGCCAAACCCTCCATACTCCCTCCTGGAGTGAAAGAGTTTATACAGCA